TTCGCGGATTGTGTCTGTCAAAGTAATAGGCTAAGTTGAAAGGAAGGGCCTAGGCTTAGTAGCCTAGGCCCGTACTTAGGTATCGAGCGGGTTTTGCCCTAGGCGAGGTGTCGAGTGAGTTGAGAGAGGAATTGGTGAAAAGGGATGGTTTCACTATAGGTTCAAGGGTACATATAGCATAGAAACCAAATAAGGTGCACCACCAACAACAGTTTAAATAACTACACTAACTACAACTACAAGCAGTTATAAAACATGACAATATATTTCGACACGCCCCCATAATGCTTGTAGGTAGATATGTAGTTACAGCATAGCAAGCAACAGCAGGTACCCCTTCCATCTCCTCACCCTCCTCCTTCCCCTCCCCCACACTGCTGCAGAGCAGCAGAGAAGGGGGGGAAGTGAGGAGTGGTGGAGGGACGGCTGCATGTTGCCTCACACCCGCCACCCCGGTACCACTCCCCCTGCTCCCCCACATCCTCACACCCTCCCCCCCCCAGCGGCAGCTGCAGCGGTGGGACTGAAAGAAGGAGGAGGGGAAGGGAGAGAGGTGACCCAACACTCCAACACCCTCCACCCCCATACCCTCCTCCCCACGGCTGCAGGGAGACAAAGGAAGAAGGGGGGTGGGAAGGAAGAAAGCCGCAGAGCGGCGAAAAGGTGTCGGTGCAGATGGGTCAGGGGCGGCTTCAGGGAGAGCAGGGGCGGAAAGGCCCGTCGCGTGCCAGTGCCACGGGGCGCACGACGGGTAGAAGAATAAAAAGGGCCCGATCGTGCGCCTAGGGGCGCACGACGAGCAAGGCACCATCGTGTGCCACGGGGCGCACGATGGGCAGATGAAGGGCACCGTCGCGTGCCACGGGGCGCGCGACGGGCAGAGTAGGAGCCACACACCCGTGGGCGGGACTAAGTAAAAATCGTCACGCGCCCTAGGCGCGCGACCGAAAAATCATCGTGGTAGCGTAAGGCGGGCCCACAGGCCAGGTCGTAAAAAGCTCCGATTCCATGTCAAAGTAATAGGCTAAGTTGAAAGGAAGGGCCTAGGCTTAGTAGCCTAGGCCCGTACTTAGGTATCGAGCGGGTTTTGCCCTAGGCGAGGTGTCGAGTGAGTTGAGAGAGGAATTGGTGAAAAGGGATGGTTTCACTATAGGTTCAAGGGTACATATAGCATAGAAACCAAATAAGGTGCACCACCAACAATAGTTTAAATAACTACACTAACTACAACTACAAGCAGTTATAAAACATGACAATATATTTCGACAGTGTCGTCGCAGCCAATCACGCCCGAGTAAAATGTCGGTTCCGTCGAGGGTCGTTGCGAGCATTTCCTGGCTAAACGTGAAGTTACCCCCGCATTGAATCCGAACTCGGTCTACGCGTTCCCGTATTGCCAGCGGCGTGCCGTCTACCAGTCGTGCGTCGATCTCAGGTAAGCATCTGTCCAGTGGCAGTCGCAGTTTTCGTGCTGTAGCAGTGTTGATGAGGCTGTAGCTGGCTCCCCCGTCTACGAAGATTTTAACCAAGTCTGTCCCAATTTTCCCACTAAGCAGTATAGGGCTGTCTACCGTGGTACCCTCCTTATTCGGCCGGGTGTGGTCGATTGCGTGAACCGGCACAATCACTCGGTGAGGGTCGGTTGGGTCGGGCGAGCGGCGTGACCTGTCAGTAGAGGGCCCGTCTGCTACTGACTTCCAGCGTTTCCCTGCTGCTTGGTCTGTTTCTGCTGCTCAGCTTCCGCCTTTCCCTTAGCGTTTTCCGGGCATTCGCTCTTGCGATGTCCCGGCCGATTGCACGCAAAGCAGCGCCCTTTGAATGGTGCGGCAGCGGCAGTTGCGGCGACGGCATGTATCGTGGCGCCCTCGTTCGTCCCACGAGGCCGATGTCCCCAATTGCTGCTTCCGTAGGACCCCGGTCTCGGTCGGCGGAAGAAATCGAGTTTCTCCGCCATAGCGAGAATCTCCTGAAATTCGGTGACGCCGCGAAGCTGGATTTCCTGAGCGATGTCCTGCTTCAGGCCGCCGATGTAGCGGTCGATGCGCTCACTCTCGTGCATATATCCCACTTGCTCGCATAGCGCCAGAAACCCGCTGGTGTAATCTTGGACGGAACCGAGTTGGCGCCAAGTGCGGAGCCTCTGACGCGCCGCGATCGAAGCCGCAATTGGCTCGAATCGAGCGCGCAGACCTGCGCACCACGCGTCCCACGTGCGATACTGGGGCACCTCCACGAAATACGACGGCGCCCAGGGTCCGGTTTGTCCTTCCCGTGTCGGTAGAGTCGCGTAGTTGTTCGGCTTCGTGACGATGACGCGCCACCAGTCCATGGCGGGTCCTCGCAGCAGCGACACGGCGTATCGAATCTTCGCCGAGTCCTCCGAGACGTAGTTGGCATCGAAGAATACGTTCATCGTGAACAGCCACGCCTGAACGGTAGGACCACCCCGTTGACTCGGGTCAAAGCATGGCGGGCGCTGCAGCTTCAGCGGCATCGGTGACGGCAGTCCCGAATCGTGGGTTGGTGCCGAAATCGTGACGCGAGGTTGACTTGGGGCCGCATGCGTCGCTCCGGGGTGTGTCGTGCCGTGCTCGTCGTCTCTGTCGGGGCGGACGACGCCATCACTGGCCGCGCTCGCGGGTTGCCCCACACTTCCGTGCTGTGATGTTGTGGGTGCGGGTCGAATCGGAGTGCCAGGTGCCTCAGATTGGGCTTGTTGTGCTCGTGTGAGATCGTTTTGCAGGGACGAGCGTTCTGCCGTCAATGCCGCGATTTCTTCGGAGCTTTCGCGAAGTTGTCGCAGCGGATCATTCAGACGGTCCTGCGTGAGGTTGGTGATGCCGATATGCTCAGCCATGGCGATGGGCGTCGGCTCGACTTAGTCTAGGCGCAGTCGTGGCTGCACGCGTTTACGAGACAACGCGAGGACAGCGGCTCCTAGGGGCTAAGGTGCGTAAGTCCCTTCGAGTGAAAAATCAAAAGTTGATTTCCTGAGGTGCGGAGATGCGCGATCCGAAAGAAAGGGGCTCTGAATACCAAGTGTTACGGGTGCAATGAATCGAGGTAGTGAGGATTGCACTAAGGTGTCAAATGAGTACAAAATGTGAGCGAAGGCATGAGCGAACATTTATACGCGAAACATGCAAACGGTAACGCGGCGCGTGCGAGCTAGCTAGTGCTATGCTGGAGCGAGGCTCGGGCTATTCCCGAAGCGTAGGTCGACACGGCCATGCCAGCAGTGCGAGGTTTGGCAAAACAGTGCGCGTGAGGTTGGCGAAGTCCCGTTAGCAGTAACGGGCGAACAACGGCTGTTGCTGTACGCGATGTAGTCGGGCTCCGTAAGGAATGCCGAGAAAATTCATTACAGGATTTCAGGTCCAAGTGGAACAAGATCAGTTTCTACGACGATACTGAGCAGTTTGAAAAAATCACGACACTTAAATTGAGACGCATTATGAACGTCGATCGGAGCTGGCGCGTCTCGAGCCATGAGCTTCTCGGAATGTGAGCTTAGAAAGTCGCAGGTCAGGGTACTGGGAGCGGAAAAGTACCGAGTTCTGTTCAAGAGAAGCAAATGCTGAGGTGATATCTGGGTCTCCAGCAGGGCTGTCGATTGGTTCCAGGCCAACACTTGAGAGTCTGAGGTCCCCGGATTTCAGCCTTGAAAGTCCCGGGAAGTGGACTTTTCCGACCCTTTAAGCCTCCGGGAAAGCCCTCAACTTAAAACTTGAATTCAGGGTACACTTCAACATTCAGGGTGCATGGTTCCTTCAGGCGAACACTTAACATCTCTGACGAGTCACGCGAGTGCTCTCTCTAGCTTGGCGGCAGTAGAAACTATCTTCCCGCCGGGATGGGATGAGTTGGGAAGGGAGAGGAGGGGGAGGGGGGGGGGAGGAGAGGAGAAAAGTGTAAACGCTTCCGGGTTAGGCCCGGAACTTCCACAGGAAATCAGAAAAAACCCCTAAAGTGTCTCCTGTAAGAATCAGGGGAAGGCCCTTTCCACGCCCAGTAGAATTCAGGGCTGTACAATCAATCAACCCTGAGAATTCGGAACCTGGAGCAAAGTCAGACCTTAATGTTCAGGGCATTAAGGCCATATGCCCTTGAATCGACAGCCCTGGTCTCCAGCGTCAGCCACGTGAGGGAGCCAACCGAAGGGTTGGTTCAGAAATGAACGAAACTTGGCAAAGATTTGGTTACTACGATCATGTTACCGAGTCTCGTTCGGTCCGTACACGACAGGGCTTTGGCGAAGGGTTTCGGCATCATCGTCGAGATTCGACTCAACGAACGAAACGGTAACACGAGCCCGGTGAATTTGTTGCCTCATAGGGTTCCCTACAAAACGAGATTCTGCGAACCTCAAAGAGTCCGTGTTTTGTCCGCGACTGGTCCGCGAAGGGGCCCGCCTGACCATAATCTCGGACCAGGCATATGCACTTACCGCTCGCACGAGTGAGCTGGAACGAACCTTCAAACACGGTGTTTCCCGGACCAATTGTGCTTCATTCGTCGCTAAACGAAACAGTGTCACGTCTCATATCTTCCCAGATTTCGTTGAGCTCGCCGACTTTCTGTTGGACCACGCAAGGTTTCGAATTAATATGAATCGGAGCAAAACTTATGCAGCGAAACATGGCGGCGAAACAGGAAGATACTCTAGCGCAGCAAAACCAATTTGGCTTGGTTTCTGGGTAACCCTTTTCTGTAAAACTGTTCTAGTATCCACCCTACGTTGCGTTCCAAGGGAAGGCAGTGCAATGACCCCCCACGAACGAGTCACTCATCGTTTCAGGCCTTGTTTGTATTGTATAAACTCAGTCTAGGCTTCAAGGTCGCTATGTCCCATCCTTTTACACATCCCTAGTAATCTCGTCTCCTAGGGAAATGATGGCGACAGCAACACACATTAACGACCTTCCCGCCGACGTCCTCGCTAGGATACTATTGCATTGTGCGGAGTCCACCACACCTTGGAAACCCGACAGTGACACGTTATGGTCTCGGCATTCACTGACGCCGAAGCCACTGTACCTTCGCTCGATTGTTTTAGACGAAGATGATCCCAGTGCTGAGGAAGAGTCGTATCCAGTATCGCCCCCCTCCGCCATTCCAACCGCTGCCTGGATCTTCCTCGTGTCGTTGGTGTGCCGTCGTTGGCGCGATGTAGCTCACCGTGACGTCTCCACCCTGCTCGTCGAACGAAAACATGCCATTTCCCTCCAACTACTCTCGAATGCCGTCGCGTGCTTCCCGAATCTCACCCATCTCCATCTGTGCGACGACAGCGTGGAAACCCTAGACGACTCCTTCCTCGCTCACCTCGCGTCATCCTGTCTTCAGCTCAAGAGTCTCCACGTGGGACGCGGGATCACTCAGCATCGGGACTACGTCGGTCCGAAACATAAGCACCCGATCACCGAGGCTGGTCTGGATCGCTTCTTCCAGCGATGCACTCAGCTGGAGCAGCTTTCACTGCTCTGCCTCCATCGGGACACTGAGCTACCCGCTTCCTTCTTCCACCTCACGCGTCTACACACCCTGGCTTTACCAACCGCCTCCGCCTTAGAAGCTCTAGATTTGGAGAGCCTCAGCTCTCTCACCAATCTTCATATCGTTTTCAGGGAGTTAGACGAGGAGCAACTCACGAATTTACGTTGTCTTCCCAGCATCACCAGCGTTTCACTCTTTGCCGGGCCCACGTTTGATGTCGGATTGCTGTCGGATTGGCCCCTGACCAGTCTAGAACGGCTGCAGATATCAGAATGCAGAGAACTGAGGCGGCTTCCGGACAGCATTGCGGGGTTGCTGCCGCGTCTGCGTGAGCTGACCGTTTCCAGATGCTATGCCTTGGAGGAGCTGTCGGAGGGTGTCTGTTCCCTGAGGCATCTCGAGACTTTGGCAGTCATCGAATGCGACGAATTTCGCTGCCTGCCTGAAAACATCGGGATATTGCCTTCCCTGAAAACCCTGGTTCTGGATAGTCTGCCGCTGGCGAGCCTGCCTGACTCCATCTGCCAGCTCAGCTCCCTGGAGACCTTCTTTCTGCTTCCTCCTCCCTTGTGCGACTCAATCTGTGAGCTGCCAGCAGACTTCTGCTGCCTCACGGCTCTCACGACTCTCTGCCTGGGGCACGCGGCGCTTCCAGCGGACATAGGACGCCTGAGTAACCTCCACACGCTGCTTCTCAGAGACAGCTACCAATCTCGGCATCTCCCGTGCTCGTTATTGGAAATCGCGTCGCTGACGAGGCTTGAGCTGAACGAGTGCCGCGTGGAGTTGCTGCCAGAGGGCGTGGGGGCGCTGAGCAACCTGCGTGAGCTGCACGCCTCAGATTGCGCTTGGCTCACGGCCCTTCCAGCGTCCGTGACGTGCCTGACTGCCCTGGAAGCTCTCTCACTCGCTGACTGCGAGAATCTGGCCTCGATGCCCACAAGGCTGGACGGCTTGACACGGCTCAAGCAGCTGGAGGTTGCCCGATGTGAAATGCTCACACGGCCTCCTCTAGTCCTGCCGGCTTCCATTGAATGGCTGAGTTGGGGAGGTGACGGGAGGCACTTGCACGCTGTGGCTCTGCCAGACGTGTCCACGCTGACGGGGCTTCGGACGCTCCGCCTGGACGAGGTTGTGGTGGCGTGTGGGGTCGCTGTGAGCAGGAGCCTGTCGCACGTGGAGCATTTGGAGCTGAATTTGGCAGGCGTTGCTGAGGAGCTTCCATTCCCCTTGACGTTTCTCTCCCACCTGCGCACGCTGATCATTGACCGCGCGTGGAGTCTCCAAAGGCTGCCAGACGACATCGGGTCAGCACTGCCGCAGCTGCGGAAGCTGAAGCTGGTAGATGCGGACGAGTTGAGGGAGCTGCCAGCGAGTGTGGCAGAACTTCAGAACCTCACGAGCTTGGTTTGCTCCGTGCCCAAACTGGCTTCTCTGCCGCATGCCATCGGTGCTTTATCCAAGCTGCGGGAGCTGAGCCTCTATTCCGAAAGGCAGCTTGAGCAGCTGCCTGCCTCTCTCACCCAGCTTGCCTGCCTGAACAAGCTGTCGATTCTAAACAGCCCCATCCGTTCCCTATGTTCCACCGCTGCACAGTTCACGCGGCTCAGATCCCTCAATCTGTCAGGCTGTGCGCAGCTGGAGGCATTGCCGGGGGATTTGGGCGAGCTGAAGGCACTGCGGTTGCTGAAATTGTTGGAGTGTAGGCTTGTGAAGGACAGTGATGGGTCTGTGCTCCCCAGGAGCATCAATGAAGTGTACGGGCTGAAAATAGAAATATAGGTAGGCACCAGTAAGACGGCCACTGCGGATAGGAAGGCGGGGACACAATCGTAAGAGATAGTTGGGGACTCCCTAATAGGGAGGGTTTTGAACACCTCACTGGCTGACTGCTGCTGCTGGTGTTACCATCTCTGCCATCTCTGTACTGCCTTCACCACTGACACTGCCGCCATTCTCATCACAATTTCCATAGCCTCAACTTCCATCACATCCTCATTTCATAGCCTTTATTTTGTACTTCCACTACCTATATCATTGGCTTTCCTCACTTACGTAGTGCGTGTCTTTTGGAGTGTATTAGGAATTCATGTTTTTTGCTAAGGTTTGTCCATTTGAACTTCGGTTGACCTGTGGTCGACTTTCTCGACTATTTGTAGTCAAGTCGCAGCGTTACCTTTCACATCAAACAGATGGAACAACGAAGTTCGACTTACCAGCAAAAAGTTGATCTTTTTTTCGAACTCTACACCAAAAGACACGCGCCCTAACAAGTATTTCTAAAACATTGAATGATCAATGGGATGGGTCATGCCTAAATCATGTCAGGTATAGTAGGGTGCATGCACCGCATCCAGTATGTTTTGGGACGGCTGAACTCTTTCGGATATTCTGCTCTGCACGAAGCCCCATGAACACAACCGGCCTGGACTGGACACAGTAAAGCGATGGCATTCAACCATGAAAACATTCGGCACCCCAGCAGCACCAACAGCCATGGCCACTTGCAGGAGAGAGAGCCAAGGCACCATGCAGCATCAACCGACAGACAACTGGAGTCGGGAGACTGCGACTGCCACCTCAGCAGCATCGACATCGACAGCCACGGCCACTTGCACTGGCGGCACCCCCACCCACCCGTGGGTTGGGGCCGTTTCAACTGATGGGAGGCGGGAGGGAAGCTGTACAGAAAAGTATGTGAGGGAGGTGAGAGAGGTGAGAGAGGTGAGATAGAGAGGAGAGAGGTAAGAGGTGAGGGAGGTGAAATGGAGAGGAGAGAGGCGATGAAGGTGAGAGAGCTGAGGGAGGTGAGGGAGGTGAGGCAAAGAGGGCATTTCAGCATGCAGATGGCAGCGGCCTTGAATGGTGGGGATGAACGGAGAGCAAGGGCCAGCCTGGATCAACCTTTTATGCGCCACCTCAAATGCCATGAAAAGCCTCGACATCAAATCTTGACTCCCCTCAGGCAAGACTCAAATGCTGGCATGGGTGCAGGATAAGGGTGCGAATGGCAAGGTGCGAGATGAGGGCACTGTGAGAGTGTGACCTGAGTGTGCACTGACACAGGTGCATGGTGAAGAGTGTGAGGGGGGTGAATGGAGACTGGTCCACTTGTTGTGACTTGCCTGGGCGAGGCTGGTCATGGGCCCCGGCTGCACGCGGCTGTAAGCCCCCGTCTAACGAGCTCTCCATGCCACCATCCTCGCGTACCCACTCCCACGCCCTCTGCTGCACAGTTGTATGTAAGCCCCCCTCTAACCTGCTCTGCCCTCTTCTCAGCCCTCTGCTCTGCCCTCTGCTCTGCCCTCTTCTCTGCCCTCTGCTCTGCCCCCTATTGCCATGCCATGTCACCATCCACGCGCCTCTCAGTCAGCACTGCCCCTCAGCGCTGCCTGCTGCAACAGGTTCTGCAGGCGCATGCAGCACCACTCCCGCCAGGTCATTTGGGCGCAGAAAGGAGGAGCAGGAGGCGGGAGATGCGCCACTGATGCTGCCATTGCCGCTGCTGACTGCACTGCGGCTGATGCTGCTGCTGCTGGTGTTCGTGCTGGCGGCTGTGGGTTCAGAAACGATTGGCTAGTGCCAGCAGACAGGGGGAAACGACTTGGTTCGGAAAGGAGGAGCACGAGGCGGGAGATGCAGCCACTGCCGCTGTCATTGCCGCTGTTGATGGCTCTGCTGTTGCTGCTGCTGCTGGTGGGGTTCGTGTTGGTGGCTGTGGGTTCAGAAACGATTGGCTGATGGGAGAAGATAGGGGAAACGTGGGTGGAACGGGAGAGAGAAAGTGGTGGAGAGGACATCGGGGGAGGGAAGGGGGAAGAGAGTACTTACTGTATATCCACACTTGAATGGATTCCTAATGCGGCTCAATTCGAATGCCAGGAGTTTTTAGATAATGTATGAAGATAATAATTGAAGGGGGGAGCGGGGAAACAACAGATGGGAGAAAGTGGGCATTTAACACTGGAAATAGAATGAAGAATGCATGTAGGAGAAACAAAGCGGATGCGGAAAGTGGGCGTACAACTGGATGTGTGGCGGTTGAAAGCGGTTCTGTGGGGTCCTGAAAAACAGGCGCGTCTGGGAGACCCGCTGTTACGCAGCGGGACGGAGAGGAGATGCATACAGGGAAGCCGGGGGGAGAATTGGGTGGTCGATTTGATAGGCAGTGTTACGGAACCAAACAACAAACATTATTGATAGCAACAGGTGGATTAAAGTGTAACACGGGCTTATATGAAAACGCCCTTAAAAACACAATAAAGACCCGGGCTTATAAAAGAATGCCCACAAAAAGGGTCAATAGTAGGCTTATAAAACGCCAAGAACACACACACATAACAGGGACTAGTCCTAATAGTAGCCTCAAGTCTTGGAGGCTTGGTAGGTGAAACCTTGGAAGGGAAAATGTAGCTTCACCAAGAAGATAGTAGATGCTTGGAGCACTTGTGAGGGAAAAGTCTTGGACTTAGAAGTAAAATCCCATTTCCATTTGGTTAATTGGAAGTTGGGAGTTGAGAATGAGCTTGGTGAGCTCAATCCCCCCCCCTAGACCTCCTTGGGGAGCTCCACTTCCTCCATGGCAACAAGGGCAAGGAGCTCCTTGGGGTGAGCTTGCTTAGGTGGCACAATGGTTGGATTAGCAACCAATGAGAGCAATAGAATTGTGATAAGAATGGTTATGTTACATGTTGTAACTTGTAACAACAATGTTCAATTGTCATTGGTTGGAATTCCAACCAATGTGGGGTTGGGTTGGATTCCAACCATGCTTGTCTGTTAGTGGGTGGTTGTCCACAATTGTGGACCAATCACCACTCATCTCCTCCATCCTCTTCTTCCCGTAAGTCGATACCTTGCTTAGGTAGTGCTTTAGCTAGGAAACGCTCGTAGGGTAGGAGGGCGATGCGTTACACTCCTCCCCCTCCAGTTGGCAACGTCCCCGTTGCCTTGGAGTGCTTCTTGGGGCGAGTGCTGCGAGCACGACGCACCACATTACGGCCAGGGTCAACACCATCCACTGGCTGCGGGGCTGCTCGGAGAGCCAAGTCTTCCATGTAAGCTTGAACTGCTGTTTCAGTCAAGTGTTCCTCTGGCTCCCAAGAATTGTGTTCAGGCCCATAGCCTTTCCACTTAATGAGGAACTCACGTTTTGTTTTACGGCCGCGTTGTCGATCACGGTGCATGAGCACACGTTCGACTTCATAATATAGTTCCTCACCCAGGACGATGGTTGGTGGTGGTTGGTATGTGCCTTCGGCAACATATTTGTTTAACAGAGACACGTGGAAGACGTTGTGAATCTGCAAGGTATCTGGTAGCTTAAGCTTATAAGCCACCTCCCCAACCCGCTTGATAACCTCGAATGGCCCAATCCAACGAGGAAACAGCTTTCGTGCCCCAGGTAGTTTGAGTCGAATGTTTTTCGTACTCAATAATACCTTGTCTCCCTCTTGAAAAGAGACGTCCCGGCGTTTCATGTCAGCATAAGACTTTTGGCGTTGTTGGGCAAGTTGCAACCAACGACGAGCAGACTTAAGCGCTTCTTGCTGCTTGCCAATAAAGTCCTTAGCGGCTGGAATTTTCAAGCCACTGACCCCATGCGTAGCAGGTGTTGTGGGGTGCCGACCGCAATTTAAGATGAAAGGTTTTTCGTGGGTGCTCTCATGCACCGAGTTGTTGACAGCAAACTCCACTACTGGCAACAGCTCATCCCAGTCATCTTGTGCTGGGCCAATAAACGAACGAAGCATTTGTTCAAGAGTGCGATTTGTGCGCTCGGTCTGCCCATCCGTTTGAGGATGGAAAGCAGACGACATCTTCAGCTTCGTCCCCAGTGTCCGAATGACCTCCTGCCAGAAACGGCTTGTGAAACGAGGGTCTCGGTCAGACACTAGCACACGAGGTAAACCATGTAAACGAAAGACATGTGCCACAAACAACTTGGCCGTATCTTCCGCTGATACGTCAGTGGTTGTAGGCACGAAGTGCACCATCTTGGTCAAACGATCTACGAAGACGAGGATCGCTGTATGACCATCTCGTGTTTTAGGGAAGTCAGTAATGAAATCCATTGACACACTCTCCCAGGGTTCATCAGGGATTGCAACTGGTTGAAGCAAACCACCGGGTTTTTGTGTGCTCGGTTTATTACGTGCACACATGTCGCAGCGTGTAACAAACCGCTGGACTTCACTGCCCAACCCTGGCCACCAGTATACGTCAGACAATGCCCATCGGGTTTTCTTAACTCCGAGGTGTCTACTGTATTTACTGGCATGCACTTCTCGTAAGATGTCATTCCGCAGGTTCCCCACATGTGGTACAACAATTTCTTTTCCATGCCACCAGAGCTCATGCTCCCACGAGAGATCCTTCGTATTCTGTGGGTTCTGAAACCAGAAATCAATCTGATAGCCTGTGCGGATTCGTTTCAAAAAACCACTGAAGGTAATCTCACTGACTCGGGCGACAGCGAGGATGTCAAAGTAAGCTGCAAAGACGGCAGCATGTTCGGTGTCCTCTAGCCCGTTTGCTGCCCCTATCGGCTGTCTGCTGAGGGGATCAGCCATGTTCGTCGAGCCTGCCCGATATCGAATATCGTAGGTGAATCCGCTAAGGAGTTCAGCCCATCGGGCTTGGCGACGAGTGAGGGTGGCTTGGCTGGAAAAGTAGGTGTTTGGACAATGGTCAGTTGTGACAACAAAGTCCACACCTTCCAAGTAACATCGCCATGTTCGTAGCGCATGGACGACTGCCAACAGTTCTTGTTCGGAAGTCGT